AAAAGCCTCATCTTTCTCCTGCAGAGCAGCTGGTGGTCTCAAACTACTGACCTTGTGAGTAGGCCAACACATAGCCACCACACCACTGGGGCTTCCTGCTGGACCTGTGCCCCAAGAGTAACTCTTTGGTGGGTGTAGTCCAAGAGCTGGGACCTCCTGGCTGACAGACAAGTGAAAACAGCACGTGTTTGCAAAATCTTTAGAGAGAACTTGTGTTCTGAACAGACAGAATGACCTCCTTGATTTATGTTTTAAAACAGGGTTTTCCATTTGTTTTTCTCAGAATAGACCACTTTAGGGGACAAAATAATTGTTGGACTGTTGTAAACATAACTTCTAAATAAGATGACCAGATTTTTTAACATTGGTAAAGCGGGACATCATTGATAAAACTCATACCCTGGCGAAATAGCCACATGGCAGCCGAAAACCATATATCCTAACCCTAGCTTGTCGTGCATTTTTTTTTTGTGTCGTGCATTCTTTCCAAAAATCAGGACTTTTTAAAATGCCACGGGACTCAGGAAAAATTCTTAAAAATCGGGACGTCTGGTCACCTTATTGTAAAACCCAAACCAAGCCAAGTTCATTTCTGTCTATCAACCCTATGGGAAAGAGTAGAACTGTCCATTTAGAGGGGGTCTGAGGCTATAAAGTTTCATAGGAGCAGAAAGCTCCTACGGTGTTGCTGGTGGGTTTGAACTGCTGACCTTGTGGTTAGCAGCCCAATACATAATCCTCTATGGGACCAGGGCTTAGATGGTCTTAGACATCACTTCTGAATAGAACCTTAATTAAAAACCAGTAGTATGTGCTACCAACCAAAAATCCACTTTTAAAAATTATGGGTTTATATGGCTATAACCCAGAAAACCATTTTCGTAGAGAAACATTCTCTTTTGGGACTTAAAATTCAAACCCACAATCTGTGGAGAGAAATATTCTGATAGAAATTTGCACTGATTGGTCTTTTAACTCCTCAGATATCTAAAATGTAAAGGATGTGCATTAAACTACCTGCAGAATGTTGTTAATCTACAAACTCCCTCTCTAAGCGTCCCAACGTCAGCCACGAAAGGGAACACCTACCGAACCGATCTGGTGACGTTGAGATGGCTGTTGGATGAGCTAAAAAAGGGGTGAGGGCCTTAAAGGTCCATGGGGAAAATTCCACGGTCTTTTCCTTCCCTTTTTCCACATACTTTTAAAAGCTTCATGTGTAAAAGCATTATATAAATTGTGAAAGACTGTATAAATGTAAGGCGCCCTGGTGGTGGCGTGATTACACGTCAGGCTGCGATCTGAAAGGTCAGCAGTGTGAAACCAGCAAACTGCTCCTCGGGAGAGGGGCTAGTTACTCCCGGAGAGCGGCACAGTCTCGGAAACTCACAGAACCTGCCCTTTAGTCGCCATGAGTCGGAATTAACTCGATGCCCGTGAGTTTGGTTTGGAGTTGATCTATAAATGTAAATTGTTAATATAATCTACATATCATAACATAATGCTCATTTCGTTCGCCAGCCATTTATGAGTCAGCATTGTTCCATCAGCAACAAGAAATAGAAGAAGTTCAGCGAGATGAAGCTCTTCAGCTACCAAAAGATTTAGATTACTTGACGCTCAAGGATATATCTTTATCGGATGAAGCTAGAGAGAAACTGCATTTCAGTCGGCCACAGACGGTAAGAAAGCAGGAACAGGTTATAACTATATAAAGAGTCAGTGCTTTCATGGTTTTTAAAGTGAAGGTTAGAATGAATGTATAACTAATGTTTAAAAAACAATACTTCACCTCATATCTATATATATCTCTATGTTTGATAGACGTTGACATAGCTTTATGGGGGATAATAAAGCTTTATTGGAGTAAATAACTGGACATTAAGAATTGGTTTGATTATAATTATTCTTTGATCCCAACCGTATGCTGAGCCATCAGGGTAGACTAGTGCAGATGGAAAAACAAAAACCATCCTCACTGTGATTTTGACTCGTAGTGACCCCATATTGGACCGTTAGGATTATAATCCTTACAGGAGCAGTCTCATCTTTCTCCCTTGGAGAACCTGGTAGGTTTGAACCAGCAACCTTTCCAGTCAACAGCCCAATGCTTAACCCACAGCACCACTGTTGCTCCTTTGAATACAAACTGTAGTATCAGTAGTTTTACGATCCCTGTTTGGCCCCTCCTGCAGAATCCATTAGTGTTGCCTTTCACAGTACTGGGAGGAAAGGGGAGTATCGGATGGGACACACGTCATGCCTTCTTTTGTGCACACACATGCATGGACAGACCCAAGTCAAACAAACTATTATAGAGAAAATAGTCATGGCTTTCCAATTACAAATATTAAAGACTGGTAGCTTGCATTTTGAGGAGCCCTGGTAGCGCAGTGGTTAAGTGCTTGCTGCTAACAGAAAGGTCAGCAGTCTGAGCCCTTCTGCGCTCTGCAGGGAAAAGACGAGACGGTCTGCTTTCCTAGAGATCGTAGCCTTGAGTGTAAAATTGGTGATCTGCTCTGTTAACCTTCACCTGGTGCAAAATAAACAGTTGAAAGCAACCCAAAAAAGACTGCAGCCGTGGAAACCCGATGGGGCAGTTCTACAGAATAACTTGGTAGCAGTGGGTTTGGTTGGGTTTGGTGTAGCCTGTATTTTATTATTGATCCTGAGCTGTACTTTTTTTTTTCATTTTATCGTCTCTAAAATCCAGATTATCTCTTTAAAATTGGTGTTGTGTCATAGTTTAGTTATCAGTTTTTTAAAATAATGAGCTTTGTTTTACAAATATGGTATGTTAAAGGGAGGAGTGATTTCATTTAGTGTAGCATGGCAATCTGCGCAAATGGAAACCAGGAAGGGAGGCCTTACGTTATATAGCCCTGGATATCCTATCCATTTTAAGTATTACATTTTGTTTTTTAATGGATAATCATAGACGGTGCTGTTTAATATGTAGCTACCAAAAAAAAAAACTCAAAAAAAAAAAAAGTATGTAGCTACATGCTAAATGTGGCCACAATTAAATACAACTTAACTCCTGTTAGTTACACTGGCCACATGTGGCTACTGGCGACCATGTGAGAGAAGTGCATGGAGGCCATCAACACATAAAACCCCATGAAGCAATGCTCACCATTCCAGATCCACAGTTCCAAAGTACAGAAAGGCCTGACAAGGTTGCTACAAACTCATCTGACAGCAAAACCTCCTTGAACTTTTATGAGGCTATGTAGTCTTACATTATTTATAGAAAATACGAGGTTCGTGGGAAAATCCCATTATCTTTTAATTACGTTTTCCACAAACATCTTGGGCGCCCCTTGTTTTCATATACTTCACTGTGAAAATTCACCAGTAGAGTATCAATGAGAATAATTATAGAGTGTATCCCACACACCTGAGGACAAGGCACATCAGTCAGATGTATCTTTTCACCATGCATACTCTGCAGGGATTCCATGCAGACTATGGACCTGCCTTTGGAGAGGACCTACCTTTGAAGAGACACTCTACTATGTCTTGATTATTCGATCTTGGACTTGCTTGTTTCACTTTCACCATTTTAAAAATGAGACATAAATAATAATCTTATTTTCCTTATCTATTTAACCAGGCGTGTTATTTTTTTTAATCATTTTATTAGGGGTTCATACAACTCTTATCACAATCCATACATACATCAATTGTGTCAAGCACATTTGTACATTCATTGCCCTCATCATTCTCAAAACATTTGCTCTCCACAACAGCTCCTCATTTTCCCCCTTCCTCATGTACCCTTGATAATTTATAAATTATTATTTTGTCATATCTTGCCCTGTCTGACGTCTCCCTTCACCCACTTTTCTGTTGTTCGTCCCCCAGAGAGGAGGTCACATGTAGATCCTTGTAATCGGTTCCCCCTTTCTAACCCACCTTCGCTCTACCCTCCCAGTATTGCCACTCACCTCACCCCACTGGTCCTGAAGGGATCATCTGCCCTGAATTCCGAGTTTCCAGTTCCTATCTGTACCAGTGTACATCCTCTGGTCTAGCCAGACTTGCAAGGGAGAATTCGGATCATGATATTGGTGTGGGGGGGGTGGGGAGCATTTAGGAACTAGAGGAAAGTTGTATTTTTCATCGTTGCTGCATCGCACCCTGACTGGCTCGTCTCCTCCCGAGTAACCAGGCTTGCCTTAGAGATAAAGATAATAGTTGTTGGAAATGTTTCATAAATGGTACTGTACAGGTTATTAGGAGTCACCTCATTGCCATCAAGTTGATTCTAACTCAGCAACCTTATAGGACAGGCTTGGACTGCCCATTTGGATTTCTGAGCCTTGGAGTCGTCTTCTTTCTCCTTCTGAGATAGGAGTGGTTACATGTTGGGCTGCTAACCGCAAGGTCAGCATTTCCAAACTACCAACTACTCCTCCAGAGAAAGACCAGGCCGCCACTTCATGAAGATTTAGTCTTGGAAACACAGGGGCAGTTCAACCCTGCCCTATTGGCTCAGTAAGAGATGGGATTGACTTGGTAGCAGTGAGTTTGAGGACTTTTTAAAGTTTGGATTTGGTGTCGCTCATGTGTATTTTTCTTGTCCTTTTGATGCTTAGATTGGGGCTGCTAGTCGTATCCCTGGGGTGACACCTGCTGCCGTCATCAATCTGCTTAGATTTGTGAAGAACACTCAGCGAGGACAAGCAACGACGAGTGAAGTCCTGCAGACGGGTCGGCACTTGCGTGATACAGACCAGCTTCAAGAGAGATTATAGCTCTCTGTTCACGGGTGACTTTTTCAAAAGCTAATTTAATCAACCCTGGAGTATAATTAGGCGATCAGAACTATTTCAAACTTGTTAAAACAGCCTTGTCATTATTTTATGAAGAGGACATAGATTATCATTGTTTGGGTGTTTTGTTATTTTTAAATATCTGAAAATACAATTGTTCTCTTTATTTGTACTGTTGCTTACAAGAGCTCTAATGCACTAAGCCCACTTTTATAACCTTGTGTAATGTTCATATAAGAGTGGCATTAATATATGTAAAACTGAAGCTGTAGTTAAAAAAATCTAGCCTTAAAAATTTGCCTACTCCTAAGGGCTTTGTCTATTAAATACTCCGAAGTAAAAATCTTTTCTTAGAAGCTGTTGCGGAAGTTAGTAATCTTTGCTTATTTAGGCTACATAAAAAAGGCATTAGGAAAAATTCATTAACCGGTCACCAAATCTTGAGGGCTAAAAATTTGAGACTATACAAAATCATCTGGAATTGCTCAGCTAATTTCCAAAATTGAAATGTAGCACGGAGAGTGAAAGTTGACTCTGCAGATGTCTACTTCTACAGGCAATCCTCACCTTTGAACAGTAAGAAAAGCCCTATCATATAGGACTATTGGAAATTCCTGTTGTTTTTTGTCATTAAAACATGATGTGGAAAGTTGGTAACCTGGTTATGGGAAAATAAAGTAAAGGTCATTTGTATCATACAATAACGATACTTTCTTATGGAACTATCATGGCCATAATGGCTTAACATTGAAGACAAATAGGTACCTCCACAGTAACTGATGACTAGTGTGTTTCCTTGTTTTTAAGTCAAGAAATTTATAGAAAACCCGGGATATTGCTGGCACTCCTGTTCTTTGATGTGTTAATGGTGTGATCACAGGGGCTAAGGTGGAATGATCATCCAGGCCCTTTGACTGGCTTCTCAGACATCTCAGCCTTTTCAATAGGCAAGAGTGAATGCAATCCAGTGAGCCAGAAAGCCATGCTTGTCCCTGGAAATGTCAATCCGGATCTTCTGTGCCGGCCTTCAAGACAGCTTCCAGTCTAAGCACGTGTACTCAGGACTCCACCCCGCACAGCCCCTCCACCAAACTTAGAAGCAAGAACAGCAATAGTTCATGTCACATACTTTGGACACAATGTCAGAGAAGACTAGTCCGTAGGAAAAGACATTGTATTTGGTGGAGGGGCAGTGAGACAGAGGAAGCCTCCGGTCAGGTGGGTTGACAGTGGCTGCCACAATGGGCTCAAACAAAGAGGAACTGTGAAGATGGCACAGAACCGGCGAAGGTTCATTCTGTCGGACAGAAGGACATGATGGGCCCTAACTACAAAATGATCACACAGCTCATGCATTTGAGCCGATGATTTTTGTGATATGTGAATTATATGCTAATAATGCAGTGTAAATGTCTTTTAAAATAATTAAAATAAAGTGAGGGACTGTGGGTCAAGGCTAGATTAGGCCCACCATTTGTTTCTTGCACCTTACATCTGTGTGCTTCTAACTCAGGCCTCAGAAGGTGTTGCTGATCTAGTCTAGATGCACCCATTGAAGAAACCAAAGCCCCCAGGAGGTGACTAACCTCTTTGGTTATATTCATAGAAGCATATCCTAGATTATTCTAAGAAACTACCCTCACCAGGCGGCTTTGAGAATCACTTCTTGGGTGGCTCCAGACCACATTGGAACACACACTCAAATTTCTTATGTTGACTACCCTTGTGTTTAGTACAACACCAACTGGGGTATTCCCTTCACCATGTGACTTTACTGAAAACCTAACTAAGTGGGCAGTGTATGTTTATTCTTTTGACATCAGCCGTCTGGCATTTAATCTCTAGAAAACACACTTGCAGGATCACACCACAGTCATGTGCTTCTGCTACCAGTTCCTCTTAGAATAAGCAAAATTGCCTACTTTTGACTTGTCTATTTATACATGTATTCTAGCTTAAACAAGCAATAGCCCACTCTTTAGATGGATTAAAGGCAGTATTCAGACCTTATATCTTGTGTTGATCTGAGTCAGCTGTAAACAAAAAGCTTGACCAAGAAAATAAAAAATTCAAATTCCCTGACCTTGGGGAAACCAGAATGGTGGTGGTGAAGTGCCCTAGAGTCATTTCTAGCTATAGTGGCCCTATGTGCAGCAGAGCAAAACACTGCCCCATCTTGCACTGTCCCCACAATGGCTCCAGATTTGATCCCATTCAGGTGGGCTATTTGAAATCTTAGTACAAAGATTTTACTCTCATACTGATCTTACTGACTCTCAGTGGCAGAGTAAGTTATTTTTGTATGCTCAAAAGAGAAAGTAAATTTCATCTTGCTTTCACTATTAAAATTTCAAGAAAGCCTGTGATTTTAAAAAAGCCTGTGATTAAAATGGTGATATGTGACCTACAGTATTCTTAGGAAAATTTGCAGTGGGTTGAAGCTTCATGATCAAAGAAGTCTCTCACGCAGTACCCAAGGTCTCTGGCTAGGGTATTGCAGTAATGTAAGATAATAAAAATTAGGGGAAACAAACTGGGAGCTCTATAATATTTTTTGTTTTAGTCATTTTATTGGGGGCTCATACAACTTTTATCACAATCCATACATATATCCACTGTGTCAAGCACATTTGTACATTTGTTGTCCTCATTCTCAAAACATTTGCTTTCTATTTGAGCCCTTGATATCAGCTCCTTATATTCCCCTTCCTCCCCACCCGCCCTTCCTCATGAACCCTTGATCATTTATAATTTTTTTTTTCATGTGTTACACTGACCGACATTTCCCTTCACCCACTTTTCTGTTGTCTGTCCCCCAGGGAGGGAGTTATATGTAGGTCATTGTGATCCGTTACTCCTCCCCCCTCTCCTTATCGTTTCCCTCCTGGTTTGGCTACTCTCATTATTGGTCCTGAGGGGTTTATCCATCCTGGATTCTCTGTGTTTCCAGCTCTTATCTGTACCCGTGTACATGCTCTGGTCTAGCCAGATATGTAAGGTAGAATTGGGATCATGATAGCAGGGAGTGGGGTGGGGCAGTAAGCGTTAAAAAACTAGAGGAAAGTTGTATGTTTCATCGGTGCTATACTGCACCCTGACTGGCTCATCTCTTCCTTGTGACCCTTCTGGAAGGGATGTCCAGTTGTCTACAGATGGGCTTTGGGTCTCCACTCTGCACTCCCCCTCATTCACAATGAGATTTTTTGTTCTGGGTCTTTGATGCCTGATACCTGATCCTATCGACACCACATAATCACACAGGCTGGTGTGCTTCTTCCATGTGGGCTTTGTTGCTTGTCAGCTAGATAGCCACTTGTTTATCTTCAAGCCTTTCAGACCCCAAAAGCTATATCTTTTGATAACCGGGCACCATCAGCTTTCTTCACCACATTTGCTTATGCACCCATTTTGTCTTCAGTGATCATGTTGGGAAGGTGAGCATCACAGAATGCCTGGTTATGAGAACATAATGTTCTTGCATTGAGGGAGTACTTGAGTAGAGGCCCAATGTCCATCTGCTACCTTAATACTAAACCTATAAATATATGTACATAGATCTATTTCCCTATTGTTATATATAAATATATTTACATGGCTGTATCTAAACCTCTATAAATGCCCTTTGCCTCCTAGTTAATCCTTCTATTTCCTTTTATTTTCCTCTTGTCCCACTATCATGTTTGGCCTTCATTCAGGTTTTAGTAAATCCTCTTGGTTACATTGCCCTTGATCAAGTACTATCAGGCATCCTACTACGCCCTCCTTCCCATCAATTTTAGATCATTTGTTCCCTTGTCCCTGGGTTTGTTGGCTGCCCGCTTCCTTTCCCCCCGCCTCCTCCTCTCCCGGGTCCCCCAGGACCATCAGTCCTGTTGTTTTTTCTTCTGGATTGTTTATCCTGCCTATCTTATCTAGGTAGACATGCAGAGACAATAAAAAGCACAAAAACAACAAAACCAAAGGGGGGGGGGGGCTTTAAATAGTTCAAGGTCTGTTAGCCTTTAGGAGTGTTTTCCCGTCAAGTCTGATGGGGTTCCATGCCCTGGCCCCAAAGTCTAGTTTTGGTATTTCCCAGATATTTGTTTTGCTCCTCTTGCTGCTCTGTTGCACGCCCTGTGTCCACCCGAACCCCCACCCCTCCCACCCCCGCCCGGTGTAGTGGGATCAGATCGGGCACAGTTCCCACACTGTCATCCAGTTAAGTAGACTCATAGTGACCCTATAGGAGAGAGTAGCATTGCCTCTTTAGGTTTCTGACACTTTGTCTTTAGAGTAGACAGCTTTATAGTTCTCCGACAGAGTGACTGCTGGTGGGTTTGAACTGCTGATCTAAGTGACTAGCAATTGTAACTCGCTATGCCACAAGAGGCATCACTCAGTATTTTCAAGTAAACTAGTGTCTCATGTAGAAGAGAGAACACTGATTTTACTGGAGAACAACCTAGTGATACTAATTGAAAGTTACCGGAATGCAAATTTAAATAGACATTTAAAAAATTCATCCAGTAATGGATGACTTAGAATAAAGAAAGCTTTCCATACTTAAGCTCAGTCTATCATTTGTATAAAATGGTGCAATAGCAGCTGTTCTCTGCCAAGCTTGATGTAGTGACATACACACCACGGTTATCAAGCAAGGCCTCAGTGAGAACCTTCAACGTTGTTAAGAGTAAAAGCCTTTAAAGTTTTCTCAGATTTTCTGATACTGTGTGACTATTATGAGACTAAAGTCTTAGATATTGTCTTTAAAAATACATTTATGTATTCCCTCAGTCATCCTGCTTATCCCTGAAGTCACAGCATTCCTAATACCTTCTCTGGGCGATCTGAAGTATGTCCCCTTTTACCTTCTCCCTCCTGGCCCGTTCTTTTCCTTCATGACACCATCCTAGCTTGTAGCTTGGAATTATCCACTTGTATTTATTTAATATCTATCTCCTTCGCTAAACTCAGTGGAAAAACTGTGTCCACCATTTTGTTTACAACTCAATTCTGGTGCCGAGTGCCTGGCACATAGTAGGCATAGACTTTTTGGGGGGAGCAAATTAGGACTTCACTGTCTTATAAAATCCTACTGGTTTACTTATATTTCTTTCTTTTAAAAAATCTCTCATCACAGTTTAATAGTTGTGTTAATTTATAAGAATACCCAACTAGTCCCAATAGATGTTTCCAATAGATACTGGCCTCTTACTAGTCGTAATCAACCCCTTTCCCCAGGCTGCTCCAGCTTTTTCCTCTCAGCTGCAGTATCTGCTATAATAGGAACTGAGAGAACTATTAAGAGTGTGGTCCATTGATTCACACCCTCAAAACCCATTCCACTGCTAGTCCTCCAAAATGGGACCACAGCCATAGATGAAATCCAGAATTACTATATATCACACAAAGGACTGGCCGGAGGAGCCATATTAAGGTAGTATAATGGACTAAACCACAACCCCAGGGAGAGTTGCTTTAAATCTTTGCATATTCCTCCTCTCATGACTTAAGATCATTAGCATGCCCTTCAAGCATATTGAAACACACCCAACACCCTATCTTCCTTTGTTCCTGCTTATAAATCCTATGAAAAATGTTATACAAAGTATTAATCTGATTAACAAGTGATTTAGCCACTTTAAAATAGTTTTGGCAGTTTCTTTTAAAGGTACCATTCAACCACTCCTAGGTATTCAAAGAAGCAAAAGCTAAACTTATCACTACACACAAACCTACACCTGATGTTTTCAGCAGTTTTACTAGGAATCACCCCCAACTGGAAATCACTGAATGTCCCTCCACTGGAAATGGATATGCAGTTGTGTTATGAGCTAGAAGGGAACTCATCATTATTATTATATATATGGATGAATTTCAGAATGCATAATACTAAGTGAAAGAAGCCGGGGCAAAACCTTCAAAAAGCTTGTGGAAAAGTCATTACTACTTTCTTACAAATTCATTTTCCATTAACTTTGTGAAACCCCTTCGTATACTGTATGAGTCTCGGTAAATAACATTCTGGCAAAAACAATTATAGGAGACAAAACCAGTAAGAGTTTCCAAGAGTTGTGGGATGAGGGAGAGGCTGATTACAAGGAACATACTATTTTGGCAAGTGGTAATATCTTGATTGTGGTGTACTGTATACATTTGTCAAAACTATAAAATAGTCAGTGTATTGCATACCAACACCTTAGGATTAAAAAAATAGGAATGATTAATCTCGTTTCCTTAGAATAAGTTTTCTAATATTCTTTGCTGAGGTAAAAGAGCCCAGGTGGCCCTGTCAGGTAAGCATTGAATGGCTAACCAGTTTAGTGGTTCAAACCCATGAGATGTTCCAAAGGAGAAAGGTGAGGCTGCTGCCCCTGTGAAGATTTACAAAGCCTAGGACACCCTATGTAGGGTGTCACTATGAGAAGGAATCACTTCCCTAGCAGTGGGTTGCACGTGTTGGCTGCAATTGTTGCCATCAGGTTGATTCTGACTGACAGTGATCCCATGTGTGCAGACCAGAACTGCTGCTCCACAGGTGGTGAGCAGGCCCATCTTCGGATGCTTTGGGGTGCATCCACATCACCAGCTTTCAGCTTGATCACTTAACCATGTGCATGACCCAGGGACTGCAGGATATTACAAAACATCTTACATTAATATCCTTGTCCCAGTGATGTCTCTCCCATTGAGGCAAGCTGAAGGCACTTATAAAAGGAGCGGTTTCAATTATTTTAAGAGAATATGGACAGTCCCAGAGATCAGCAAATAATGGAGGTAACTAAAAAAATAATAATAATGGAGGTAACTAGCGCCACCTAGGCACTGCTGGTTAAGAATCTACGGGTGTGGGAAAGAATAGCGAAAGGTGTGAAAAGCAAAACCAGATGTAAGGAAAATCCTTCAGGAAGGTGAGGGGTTCTTTTACCACCTAACGTGTTCACTATTTAGGTAAGTTATGGTAAATTTTTAATATTTGATAATATGGCTAATCAAGTACCAAATGATAACTGAGGTATTGTAGTAGAGAGGCATTTTAATCTCTACTTTTGAAGTCAATTTTAAGATATTTTGCTTGTAACCAGTGAGAAACAGTACAACCCATGGTCAATCTAAAAAAAACCCTTCTCAAAGGGATCAGCTGTTGCTTTTGATTCCCAGTAGGTGGCGCTCAAACCAGACCAATTGTCTAAGCATGCACATCCGGTCCTTAAGAGGAAGTGACTGACATGCAACTAGACTATGTCAGACTCTGGCTGGGCTATTTCCTACTTCTATTTACTGCCACTTATTCATTCCCACTCACAGCCACCCTGTTAACACCTACTAGTGGTAGAAAATTCTAAAAAAATTAATCTGGGGGTAGAACAAGATAAGTCCTAGGTGTCCCAAAACTACCCCCCACCCTATTGTCAGGTAGATTCCAGTCTAGGGGAGGAGGCCCACCTTTCTCTGTAATTCTGAACCATTAACCTTGCAGTTCGCATCACTTCCCCCACAGCAACACGAGCTCTTTGAATACCCAAACCCTCAGGACTGCCATCGAGGTGATTGGCTCACAGCTCTGCATTCCCTAAGCTGCTTGTGGACCTGAGTCACCAGTTTTGCCTTTAGCAATCTGGACGGCACCACCAAACCCAACTACCATCCAGTCATTTTTGACCCGATGACCAGATAGGGCTCCTCCCTGCCCTGTAGGTTTCCATGACTGTACAGGGCAGAAGTCTTTCTCCCAGGGAGTGGCTGTTCTGAACTGCTTTCACCTCTCGATAGCGAACAAGGTGCTCAGCAGAAAGCAGGGGAAGTCTTTTCTACTTTGCAGTTATCTCAAAAACCCAGAATTATGCTGTACTGGTCCCCAAACTTGCTATCAAGTTGCACGTTAAACCTGCCCCCAGTCACAATGAATCAGATTATGGTGGCAGGTCTTACATTTAGCAGCTGCCAATCCTTTGCTACTTAACCGTGGACTTTCAGTGAAGAGCCTGGCCCTTCTGGAGAAACTTCCCAAAACAATGCTGCTCTCCTTCAGACTCGGTTAACACTAATGTTATCTGCTCCTGCGCTTTCCACGGGAGTAACGCAAAGCTTTTAACTGCTGACATTGTCAGCACCCTCTAATAGCATCAACTCATAAGGTTGCCAAGTCAGGGTAGTGAAAATACTAGAACAGAAGCCCCAAATCCTGACAAATTCATCTCTGTGCACTAGGTTTTAACATTCCACTCTAAAATTAGTCAGCTACACAATTTTGCCAAACTTTTTAAAGCTTGGCTGTAGGTGCAAAAAATGTGACCATCAAGTACTAAACAGTAAGCTTAAGAGGATAGCCTACCATCACCTAGCCCCGCTGACCTCACCTTATGACAGAACTGCCTAGGTCACTCCTTGCACTCAGTAGGCCCTCAGGAATGGGTAAAAGAGCTCCTCCCAGTAGGTTTGCCATCCCTAGAGTAGAAAGCCACGCCCCACCCTCTTGACCCTGAGGGGTTTTCACATCACTGACTGCTACCATCCTGTTAATCGTGTAGCCTAATGATATTGCAGCTTACAAACTAACAGCCCTCGCAAACCACCTTTAAAGGCACCTTATAAGCATTACAATTGTATCTAAAGTGTTGCAAGCAAGTACCAAGCTTCCTATGGCTTCTAGAATTCTTTTAGAACACCCTTTGCCCCCAAATGAAATGCTTCATAAGAACCTGCTTCAATTAATCATGCAAGTTTCAATAGATGTCAGAATTAGAATCAGTGTTGACCAAAAGACAACAAATTTCTCATTAAACTTTGTTTTAATGGGTCTCAAAATCCTGTGACAAATTTTTGGTCAAGTTGTTTTCCTTTTAAAAAGTACTGATTTTAAAAACTAATAACTTAAAACTGCCACACAAAAAAGAAATATGGTCCACAAACATTCTTTTCCTTCTGAAAGTTTTACGATGCATTGTTATCA